TTGGCAACGGTTTCTGCTGTTATGTCACGCAAAGGAATGGCTTCCATCCAACCAGTACAGCGATCAATGCAAGTCAAGCAATACACAAAATTATCAGATGGTGAATATGGACCTATTAAGTCAATGTGAACTATTGTAAAACTTATCAGTCTGAATTATTTACTTATCAGGCTGCTGATAAGTTCCTAGTTCAGATTTTGTATGTGAAATAAATTTGGACGTCATTTTCTTAACGGTCGACTTGATTCCTGAATGAGCGAGCCCATGGATTTGTTAAAATATATCCATTCTAAACTGCTTGGGTATAAATGGTCGGTAGTATTCGGTTTTGAGGGCCGTAAGAAATCGCCAAACTATTGTTGATGCCAGTGCTGCCAAAAATAATTACGGCAACCCTAACGCAAGAAAGGAAGTATAATAGTAAATAACTATCTAAGATTGATGTTTTAATTTCATATACTACTTTTTTATTATTATAATTTATATAGATAAAAGGCTAAACATGACTGAATGGAAGCATACGAGTAAATAACTATTTCAGGTCATTATTATAATTTATATAAAAATTGCTAAACATAACTGAATGGATGCCTGCATCGCTATTTCGCTACCGAGTTATCGCTAAAGCATAATTTCATGTCGTTGGTTGTTCAAGTATAATTTTCTCTAATGAATGATGCCTTTTCTTTGAAAAAATTCTCGGTAAAGTGCAGAATCCCCCACGTATTTGTTTCCGCTTTTTACAAGGGTAAAAACAATTGGATTTTTGTCAATTTTCTTTTACTTTTTAAGTGAAAATAGGTCGATGTGTACATAGATAAAGTCAAGGGTGTGCGCAGTGCTATTTTTGTGTAATTCTGGGATTTTTTTTAGGTGAAAATAGGTCGATGTGCACATGAATACGGAGTATGTGCAATTCTTAAAAACGCGTCAAGCAGTGGGTGATTCTGCACTTTGCCCAAAATTCTATTGCCGACTTTTCGTCATGGGCAATTTCCAAATCGTTAAATCCATAGGATATTAAAAAAGGATTTAAAATCAAAAAAGGATTTAAGAATTAAACTAGTATTTCAATGGCGTCTTAAGAAATATAGAACTATATAAACTTACGCAATCTGAAATCAGCGCGTACGCTAGATTTGGCGCGCTGTTAAATGGGCTAGATTCGGCGCTTTTACCCATACATTTTCGCTGCAATTTGTTACGGTCCTCAAAACGGAATAGTACCAAATGGTCTAATGGTAGAAGAAGACGAATCACACCACAGATTTTTACCAGATGGAAGTATATAACTTTTGAAATTTAATGTTTTATTTTGAGCTTGTAAATCTTGTAATTCTTTATCATTAACTTATTTGTCAGCAATTTTATCATAATCAGTGAGTGAAAGAGACATCAGCTATTCTTCATAACTGATCTACGACAATTTTTTCACTTCCACTAATGTGGCATATGTTAGTAGAAAATTGAGATATGTATTGCAATTGGCGCATGTCTCGGTGATGCCTTTTCGCTCTTTTGTCTGAAAGCATAAACTAGTGGTTTATGATCCGTAAAAATTTTGAAATCACGACCTTCTAACATATGTTTAACCCGCGAGCACACGCACCGATCCGACGAACACGAGAACATGCGCCGGGTATGTCATACCCGAATAAAAGGTTTGTAATTAAAAATTTGCCGAATAAAATTAATCAGTTTTTAAAAGAAATTAAAATGTAAAACCAAGTTAATACTTCATTTTAGACAAGATATGAAAGAATAAAGAGAGGTAAAATTATTTACTTACAATTTTTTTAACATTGTTTACAAAATGAGGTCATATGTTCCATACATATACTTTTGCTACAATTTTCACAAATGAATCTGGTCTTTCTATCTTTTTTTTTGGGGAGGGGGTACTCTGTACACCTCTTGTAAGTAATTTTAGATTTTTTTTGGAGGGGGTTGGTTCATTGTTAACACGTTCATCGATGGTCAGTGTTTGTCTAGAATCAGGAACTACAGATGCTCGTCGTCGTTCATTTTGAACACTTTCTATTAGCTGCATCCCTAAGGCTTTGAGAAAAGTACGCCTGGTACGGTATTCCGTTGGTAGTTCCTTCTTTGATAGTAGAATTATTCTAGCATTAATGGCAGCCACGTTTAACACTGAAAAGAAAATCACCATAGGCCATCGACGTGCTACTCTTGCTGTAGAATACGCAGCTGCCATCTCATCTACAACATCGACTGCTCTTTTTGTCATGTTATAGAATGTAATGATTTCAGGCTTTTTAGATTCCCCAGTAGATTCATCGATTTGATCGCCGGAATGCATTGTGGATAACAGGATCACACTCTTATTTTTTTTTTTTTTTCGGCACATAAGATACAAGTGTTGCTTCTTTCTGAAAACCGAAAATTGAAGAATATACCTCTATTTTCTTTGCCAGAAACTCAGGTGGCATTTCTCTCTTATTTTTACGCATTGTACCTACTATCGTAATTTTCTTCTTTAGGAGATGAGATAATTCATATTCCATATACCAATTATAAACTGTTAAATTTCGACATGACATGTATAAGGGACTTATTAAACGTTTTACAACTTCGCTTGCACCATTTTCAACTTGAAATGGCCCATCTGGTTGTTTACCAGCATAAATTTCCTTACTCCAGGTATAAAATACCATTGCGTCTACAAGAGCAAATATTTTTATGCCATACATTGTTAAGTCCCTCTGAAGCCAGATGGCGCTGCCATCGTTACTGTTTACAAAAAGAATGTTAATTACTTTAGAGTTGGCTTCAATGGCGAATGATTGTGGGAGCCTGAGAGTCTTCAAAAATTAGTATAATAAAGATAAGAATGTTTAAAGTAGTTTGTAAATTAGTTTAATTGAGAGTTACAGTCCATTTAGAAATCGCCGGAACATTTGAGTGGTCCAGTAGAGCCGCAGGGATATCAGCTAAGTAAATAATCTAGTATAAAACAGTGAGTTGCCATTTTGTTTCTATGGAATTTGTGTTTGTAGATTATAGCCAGTTGCTGAAAGAAAGGGGTAAGTAAAATACCCTTGACACTCTATTCATTGTTAACTGTTTAGTAAATTCTGAATTAAGTTTGTGTGATAATTTATTATTGATAAGTGTAGCGAAAATGACTACGAAACTGAAAGATGTTCTCACTAAAAAGAGAAAACAAAAAACTATCTTATCGAAGTTGCAAAAGAAACTTTGTGAGCCAGATTTAAGTGTTTGTGATTTAGAATTGTTAAAAACTAAATTTAACAATCTGCAAAATGAATTCGATAATGTTTTTGATTCTATTATCAATTAAGTAGTGAAGAAAATATCGAAAAAATCTTCAGTGGAGCAAGATGAAATCAATAGTAGTATTATTGATATAGAATTTGAAATAAATAATAGATTGTCGAACGTTGTTAGAGAAAATAAAGTAGAAAATGCAGTAATTTCTGAAAATACTGTTGTGCGTTTACCCAAGATTTCGTTACCGACATTTTCAGGAGAAATGCATTCTTGGCTTTCCTTTAAGGATATTTTTAAAGCGAGTATTGATCAAAACCCAAATTTATCAGATGCTGTAAAATTGCAATATTTGAAATCAGCACTGAAAGGAGATGCTTTTAGAATTATCCAAACGATAACTATAACGGATAATAATTATAAGTTAGCGTGGTCTCTCCTTGAAGAAAGATACTCGAATCCTAGAGAACAAGTGTATGCTCATCTTGAAAGATTTATGAGTATTCCCGTTATTCAAAACGAGTCAGCATCTGCGATTCTAAATTTAATTGATGTTACAAGTGAAGTTGTAAGATCGTTAGAATGTTTAGAACAAAAGTTAGATGGGGTTTCATCCGCTACATTTGCCTTTATTCTTAGCCAGAAACTTGATCAGAATACTAAGTTATGGTGGGAAAGGAATTTAAAGAAAGAAAAAATACCGAACATTACAGAGTTATTAGAATTTCTAAAGGATCACGCGAGGACATTAAACGCTTCTAGAATTCCAGTAATGTCTAAATCAAAAGCTTCAGTAAGTCAATCAAAGGTTTCTTCAATGGTTTCATGTGTGACTGAAAAACGTGCTTTAATTTGTAAACTGTGTAATGTGGAAACATAAATTATTTAAATGCCCTAAATTTAAAAAATTCAGCTTAAAGGATAGAGTAGATTATGTTGAAAAGCACAACTTATGTTTCTGCTGTTTTGGAAATCATGGAGTGAGAAATTGCCCTTCAAATTACTCTTGTAGGCTATGCAGAAAAAAGCACAATTCGTTACTGTGTTGTGAGCGAGAAAAAGTTTCGATTTTCCCAAATAGAGACAGTTGCGAAATCGCGTCTCTGTCGGATCAAAAGTCAGACGCCAGTTCGTCTACGGAAGTAGCGAAATTGAACTGTCACGCAAAGCCATTTATAAATAAGGATAGCGAGTGTTTTATGACAGCTAATGTAAATAAAAATTTTAATGCACTTAATAGAGTCCTGCTATCGACAGCGGTTGTTTATATTGAGGAAAATGGAGGAGAAATATTTTCAGCCAGAACATTGCTTGACAGTGGAAGTATGATTTATCTTTGTTCATCGGAATTAGCAGACAAGCTTCATTTGCAAAGAGAAAATGTAAAATCAGTAGGATGTTTATCTGGGATTTCAACAACGGTGAAATAAAAAATAAGTGCGGTTATTTTAAATAGAGGAAACACATACAGTCGTAAACTAGATTTTTTCGTAATTCCTAAAATTACTCATTTGATGCCTTCTAGACAAATTGATGTCTGTAATATTGAGATTCCACAAGGGGTTACGTTAGCTGATCCAGACTTTCACAAACCGGGTAAAATTCAGTTACTTTTAGGATCTGAAATATTTTTGGATTTGATAAGATCCGGGCAAATTTATGTACCAAATACAAATTTAGTGTTACAAAATTCAGCATTTGGGTAATTGGTAAGCGGTAGCATTGAAGATTTACCACATGAGAAACAATTAATGCATTGTGGGTTAATTTATGACAATGTCGAAGCACAGTTGAAGAAGATTTTTGATTTGGAATCAATTGGTATCAGAGATGATCCCAATTCTTACGATGAAGATAAAGCATTAGAGATATTCAACAAAACTGTTAGTTTCAAAGATGGTCGTTATATTGTTAGTTTGCCTTGGAAGAAACGTTGGGAACATTTAGGCGACAATTTTGGTGTCGCAGAAAAAAGAATAAAAATCCTGATGAGAAAAATGCAGCATGATAATACATTATACCTGAAATATAGAGAAACTTTAGAAGAGTACCTAAATCAAGGGATAATAGAAAGAGTATTAGATTCTACGAAACCAGTAAACAAGCCAGTTTTTTATATGCCGCATCAGGCAGTTTATAGAGACGAAAGCATTACAACAAAAATGCGTATTGTATTTGATGCGAGCTCACATGAAATAGGTAGTCTGTCCCTGAATGATTGTTTGTGGCCAGGTATTAATCTGAATCAAAATATATTTCACTTGCTGATATATTTTAGACTTAATAGAGTTGCAATCTTAGGAGATATCGAAAAGGCATTTTTACAGATCGTGTTAGCTGAAAAAGATCGAGACGCAGTTAGATTTTTTATTTGTTAAGAATATTGATACACCTTTGCAGAATACCGACGATCAGCTAGAAGTGTATAGATTTAAGCGTGTACTCTTTGGTGTTAATTCCAGTCCTTTTTTGTTAGCGGCAACTATAAAGCTGCGTATCCAAAAGTACAGAAATGTGTATCCTGATACCTTTCAAATTATTGATACATGTATTTATGTTGATGATCTTGTTACAGGAGCAGATGATGTATCAGAAGCCTTAAAAACTTCAAGGGAAGCAAAGGAAATTATGCGTGGAGCTGGATGAATCTACGCAAATGGGTGACGAATGATTATCATTTAGCTAAAAAATGGGAAGAAGAAAATTTTGATATTCATCCCCTAAGCTCAAATGAAAGAAATACTGAAAGTATTAGGAATTCAATGGAACATTCAGGAAGATAGTTTGAGTATAGAGACTTCTTGTTTGACGAAATTTCGAGGAGAAAAGAAAAGTACCAAACGCTTCATCCTCCAAACAGCTGGAAAATTATATATGATCCTCTGGACTCATCACACCATTCACTGTTAGAATAAAACTTTTACTACAAAAGCTATGGTTACGTAAATTACCATGGGATGAAGAGCTTCCTTCTGATTTGAACGACGAGTGGTCTCAGTGGTGTAGCGAGCTTTCAGAACTTAGTAACATTAGCGTTCCAAGATTTGCTTTGGATTCATGTGATGAAAATATAGAGATCCATGTTTTTTCTGACGCAAGTCAAAAGTTGTATGGTGCAGCCGTTTACGTAAAGGTACAGAATCAAGAAAAAATTTCTATGAATTTGCTGGCTTCCAAGAGCAGAGTTTCACCTGTCAAAAAAGTTTCCTTGCCTCGACTTGAATTGCTGGGTGCACTGATTGCTGCAAGATTGGGAACGGAAGTTAAAAATGTTTTAGATCGTAAAGGTTCATCTAATATCTTTTTTTGGAATGATTCTAAAGTTACACTGTATTGGATCAAAGGATCAAGCAGGAGATGGAAGTCTTTCGTTCAAAATCGCGTCAACGAGATTCAGAAGTTGACTAATCCAGATTCATGGTTTTATTGTTCAACCAAAGACAGTCCAGCCGATCTTCTAACGCGTGGAGTTAGTGCCTCTTCTCTAGTGAACAATTCTAAGTGGTGGACTTGTGCAGAATTTTTACAGAGCCGCATCTTCCCTACAAGTGCTTACAACCAATAGTTCCAGAGGTTGAGAACCTAACACCAAATGAAAGGGAGTCCTTTGTGCAAGAAAGAAAAAGATCTAGTGACATTAATGACATTTCTGAGAGAACTATGTTGATTGACATGAACTCTAACGTTTTAGACGAACTCTTGAATATTAGTAACAATTATTATAGAATAATTAATGTTCTTTCTTATATTTTTAGGTTTATTTGTAATTGCAGGAAAGGTGAATCAAGAAAGGTAGGCCCTCTTCAACTAGAGGAGGTAAGAATAGCTGAGGAAATGCTTATTAAGCATGAGCAAAGGGTTTCTATTTTCTAAAAAGGACATAACAGGTAACTTAAAAAATTTACATCCCTTTGTTGATCGTAAAGGAATAAATTCGCGTTGGTGGCCGTCTTGAAAAAGCTTCTTTACCAGTTTTCTCAGAAATATCCTGCAATCCTACCAAAAAATTCTAAGCTAAGTAAGATTTTAAGCTAAGTTTTTTCTAGTGTGCACCGAAAATTATTGCATGTTGGCCCCCAAGGATTATTGAATGCAGTACGTTTAAAATTTTTGGCCATTAGGTGGTAGAGATTTGGCGCGAAAAGCAGTACATCTTTGTGTGACATGCTTTAAATGCAAACCGATTTTGTCTTCACAGATTATGGGCAATTTGCCATACGAGAGAGTTAATAGATCACCCCCCCATTTAGTGTTTCAGGTTTGGATCTATGCGGTCCCTTTTATGTGACTTACAAGCATCAGAGAAAGGGCGTGCTAAATAAAATTTACATTTGTGTATGTATATGTTTTGAGACACGAGCTATTCATCTTGAGCCTTTGTCAGATTTAACTTCTAGTGCTTTAATTGCCACTCTTAAGCGTTTCATGGCCAGACGTGGCAAATGTGCGAAAATATTCACTGATAATGCCCCTAATTTTGTAGGAGCAAATTCTCTGTTGAAGAAATTTTACAATGTAATTAATTTTCCTGATAAAACTTTGGCCTCATTTCACTTCCGAAAGAATAGACTGGAACTTTATACCTCCCAAGTCCCTCATTTCGGAGGGCTATGGGAAGCCGGTGTAAAGTCCGTAAAGTATCATTTAAAGAGAACGATGGAGATTTGCGTTTTACATATGAGGAGTTTGAAACTATAATTGTGCAGGTAGAGGGAATACTAAATTCGAGACCTTTTACAACCTATTTCCAATGATTTGATTGTTATGACGTTTTTTGACCCCAGGTCATTTTTTAATAGGGAGATCAATACAGACGATTCCGGAGCCAATGATAACAGAAGTAAATGAAAATCGGTTAAGCCGGTGGCAGAGAACAACGAAAGTAGTTCAAATTATTTAGAAGAAATAGTCAAATGACTATTTAGGAACTCTGCAGCAGAGAAACAAGTGGATGATAGAGAAGGACAATATTTCTGTTGGTACTATGGTACTCGTTAAGAAGGATTATCTGCCAATTTGCAAATGGATATTAGGTCGGGTTATTAAAGTCTATCATGGATCTGACAATAAAAGTAAGAACGGTTAAAATCAAAACAAAATCAGGAGAATTGAAAAGAGCGATAACAAAGATCGCCGTTCTTCCGATAGAAAACTGAAATGATATTTTTGCATATGTATTGTATTGTTATAGTATTGTAATAGCTGTAGTTATAGTAATAGTATATTAAGTTGTTTATAAGTATATTAACTTTGTTAAGAATGTTTGTGTAATTTCTTGAAATTTTGTAATTTCAATCCGGGGGAGTGTTAAGTCCCTCTGAAGCCAGATGGCGCTGCCATCGTTACTGTTTACAAAATGAATGTTAATTACTTTAGAGTTGGCTTCAATGGCGAAGCAGAGAGTGATTGTGGGAGCCTGAGCGTCTCTCAAAAATTAGTATAATAAAGATAAAAGATATGTTACAAAGTAGTTTGTAAATTAGTTTAATTTAGAGTTACAGTCCATTTAGGAATCGCCGGAACATACATTGCTGGCTTGTTGGGCGTATATTGTTTGAAGGAACAACGACCTCTGAATGATTCCAACTTCTCATCAATGGTCACATACTCTCCTACAGTATAAGCCTTTTGGCAATTTGTGACAAAATTTCCAAAAATTCTCTGATCGGAGCTAATTTATCAACGTCTCTTCTAATGAGACGATCTCTAATGTCATCAAAACGGAGGCATCGTAAAAGAAAGAGGAATCGGTTCACTGACATTGTTTCCTGAATATATCCATTCCCGTTCCGTCTGTTGCCCACAAATCTCTTACGTTCACATGGGATGATTTATAAACTCCACATAAGTACAGCAATCCAATTAAAGCTTTGATTTCCAACTAATTTGTTGTTTCGCTTCCAGAGTTTCACGAGTGAAATTTCCACGTACTGAATCAATATAAATATTTGCATTGTCGACTACATGTTTTAACATATCTTCATCGATAAGCAGTAACCAGAAATCTAAAGGTGTTGAGACGTCTTTAGAATACTTCATATTTCCAGGGAGTTTAGTTATAATATTTTTGGCGCCAATTATAACATTAGTCCAGAATTTATTTTTGTTCCATTTTAATCCATTTTACTCCAATTTTTTCCAACATAAAACTCATTGCTACATTCCAAAGTTTCATTTTCTGTTTCTGTATCTGATCTGATCACTACTCTCTATGGATAAATCATGATTACTATTATATTCTTCGTCATCAACATCTTCATCTTCTTCACTAAATGAATCCTCATCAGAAGAAACTGGTTTCAAGGAAGATTTCTCAATCTTTTCATCTCTTCATCGTAAGGAATATACGGCGCCATGCTTACAACTCAAGAAAAACCTATAGTAAAAGCTTGAAAACGAGAAGTGCGAAGTGACTCACTGAGAAACGCGAGTACACGCGCGGGTATGACATGCCCGAACAATGGTGTTCCTAAAAAACCGTTGCACCTGTCACCTCAGGAATTTCCCCCATTTAAGTATGTGACCTTGAACTCAGCTACACCAAGTTTCGTCCTTTTATGAAAGAATGGGTGAGAAATATACAAAAAGAAAAATGCACATGGGTATGACATACCCGTTGCGTATGCTCGCGGGTTAAAATGTTTAATTGCAAGATATGTTCCCAGTAACTCGCGGTCATAAGTACTGTAATTTTTCTGAGTGCTATTTAATTTTTTTTTTGAATAAAACGCTAAAGTTTTCCATGATCCATTTTCAAACTGTTGGAGAACTGCACCAATAGCCCAATCAGATGCATTCGTGCATAGTGACAAGGGCAAATCTGAATTATGATAAATTAAAAGAGCTACGTTTGCCAAATCCTGTTTACATTTTTCAAAGTTAAATATAGCTTCATCTGAATTTGAGGCTATGGGGAAATTTTCTGGGAAAACTTTAATTTCACTTTAAAGTGTAAAAACATATTTTCTTTTCAGAGTAAAATGTTCAAAGAACATCTAAGTGAACTATCCTGATGATATTTTAATTAGACGATTTTTAAAAATTTATTATAATGCGCGATCTCTGAGACCGCACGTCCCCTGCTATGTTCAACTTTTTCACCTCCCCTGTTACGGATTAAATTTAAAGAGGCCAAATGGCGTAATTATGGCAGTTTTCTGTTTGTCCTCTTCGGCTATAGGAATTTGTAAATAGGCTTTGAAAAGATCAATTTTGGAAAATATTGTTTTGCCTTTTAAAATGTTGTTAAAATCATTAATCCTAGGGATAGGGTATCTGTCAGGAATATTTATAGAATTAAGTCTTTGATAGTCTCCACAAGGACGAAAATTTCCATCTCTTTCTAAGTGGAGAGGACTAGCCGATGCAGAGTAGACTGTCTTATTATATTGTTTTCCAACATTCACTGAAATTCTTGCTTGGCAATCTGTAACTTTTTACGGTCTAGCTGTCTTGGCTTGGAATACACCGGTTGACCTTCAGTTAAAATGTGATGTTTAACATTGTGCTTAACATTTGTTATCAAAAGATTAGGTTTTGTAATATTCGAATACTTGGATAACACATCATGATATTTTAACTTATCATATACTAAACTTATATCATTCATTTTAGAGATGGATGTAATGTCACACTGAGTAGTAAAG